TTGCCTAAAGAAGCATTAAGTGCTTTGTGGAAAATACAATTTACAATCGGAACGAACTTTTGAAATGCCCTGTATATCTAAGAAAAGTTATTTTTATTTAGGTGCTGTAACTAACAACTGGCTTGCTGCTGTTTGCATCAATAACTACCTTATACTCATGATCGAAAAACGTTAAATCACTGATTTATAGTTTATAATATTGTACGGAAGCATAATGTGTAATAACTGAGTAAACTTTATTTTACATCAGAGGTTAAATTTTGCCTACCAAGTACATTATAATTCCTCCAGAAAAATCACCTAGCAACCCTCCCATCACAAAACAAACGCCATGTGATGTACCCCGTCAGCCATATTGAAGTGATGCGGTTAGCTTTTGTTTTTTCTGAGTGGCTGTACTCTCTTTTTTTACAATTATTTTCTCTTAATGTCTTTACACTTTTGTGTATTAAGAGCACAATAAAGGTTGTTGCTGTTGTTGTTGTTGTCAGTGCATCAAATTGTGCTTTGAATGACGTGATATTGTCGGAGACCTTGATGAAGAAGCCTTTCCAACCAGAAACAAGCAGCAGCGACTGTTTCAAGCTTGTTTTTTCAGCTAGACTCAAACGTGGTAATGCATTTGAAGCTTCAATGTGATTTCCTGGTATGATGAGCTGATTCTGAGATGCTGCACGTATGAAATGATTCCAGCAACAACATGCCTACCCCTATAGTACTCGGGGATCTCCTTTTTGATTACATCTGCTGTTAGAGAGCACTTACACTTCTGTTTAGCTGGAGGGAGGTGGTCAGGTGACTCTTCGCTGTCTCCAAGGTTCTCTTCTGACCCCTCTTGAGGCATCGGGCTCTTGCTTCAGGACAAGGATCAAAATCCCTCGGTGCGAGGTACGGCCCTGCTAAGTGTGTATTCTACTACCATAAGTGTGAGGGGTGGACTTTTGGGTTGATTACATTCGTCTGAGATAGGCACGCTATTTCCTATTTGCTCACTGCTTACTTTCAGGGCAAATTCCGTCTCAATCTCTTTAAATAGGCTATAACTGATCCCATAACCGCACTTGTTAATCAGTCTAACCTCTTTTGTATTGTTGCACGGTGCCTTAACCACTGCTGGAAAAAGTTAATTGCTCCGTCAGATACAATTTCGTTCAAATCTTGCTTTGACGTTATAAGGAATATTATTTTAGTCTTCACATGACGAAACACGTCAGTTAAGCTGGTAAAGTTGACACGTGTCGGATGGGGTAACTTTACTTGGTGGTCATACGGTTGGTCGCATACCGCGTGGCTCCACATATGCGTTAACTTTTTCAGCGTTTTCTCGGTTTTCTCCCAGTGTAAACGCTTTTAAAATGAAGATTTACACAAAATATACGATCCCAACATTTCACAACAAAACAGGGACTCAGAAGAAGCTCAAATTTGAAATAGACCACAGCATATACAAACCGGCAGTGCAATGTGCTGCCTCTCTAACCGAGGAGAGAATTCATTTCTGGATAAAGACATCTGCACGATCATTACTTCGAACTTCTGACGGAACGCCATAATTATAAAATCGGCTGGATTAACCACCTAAACCATGACGAGTCTGCCTTTGAGCATATTGACCTCAAGGTCTGCCATTATACTGATGACTTGGCGGACAAGGAACAACTCCTTGTGACAATTGACATATATCTAACCACCTGGAAGGATTATGTGCCAAGATGCGTGCTGCAAATTATGGTGTTCAAAAGACTTCCCTCGCCCTAAAGCAAAGAATGGACTGGTTAAACGCCAACTACGGCGGCAAGCAAATAATTGAAACTGAACATGCTCCATGCAATTTTGACATCATCACGTGCAAAAGCCTGGATGACCTTCACCAAGCTACCATGGAAGGCAAAGGCAAAAAGAAAGCCAGTAAAAAAACAGTTAATTTTGCATCATCTAAGAATAATGACGAAGATTGTGTAGATCTATTCCGGGAGCTGGAAATCAAGAATCTGGTTGATGAAAGTGAAACACCAAAATCATCTGGCCAGAAACGCAGTTATTCACTAAGCTCAGTATCGAGTCTATCTGTGAAAAAGAATTCATCCATCTCTGAGCTGAAATCGGCGATCTGCGCCTTGGAAGCTGATGTTGTTGAAGTGAAAAAAACTGTAAATGATGATCGTCGCCTTTTTTATGATGACAAACTGATCTTCATGGAGGATAAAATATCTCAACTGGAAAATTTCTACAAGTCTGTATTTAAGCAGTTAACATCTCGAATGATTGATGTCGAAGCAACCAATGACCAACTGAAGTCAGAAAATGTTAAGTAAACTTCTAAAGTTATAGCGCTGAAGAAACACATCAAGGAATTGGAGAAAATTGATGCATACACCCAAAGAATCAACTGAACACCAAGCACCTGCATCACCGATAAATCTTTCCGACATACCCCACCCGCAACTAAATCACATACTTCCACATCCATGAAACAACTGTTTTTCTGTTTTTTTATCATTGCCCTCAGATGACACTGTTATACCTCAGGAGAAGATGATGGCAGACAATGAGCAACTGACAAATGAAAGTTCACAAAACTCTGCAGTACAGTCACAGCATCCCAGCCAAGGACTTCCCTTAAACCGGCCACTGAGCAGTACACCAGAAGAAGTAATATTATTAATGGATTCTAACGGAAAATACATCGGTAGCAAGAAATTCTGTCCAACTAAATCTGTGAAGCTTATTTTTTCCCACTGTAAGTTCTATGATAGAAATCCTAAACAGCCAGTCCTTTGGTTCGCCATCTCGTATTGTCTTTTACACTGGTACAAACGATAGTGAACAATCTACTCTGGAATCTTGTACAGATAATGTACAGCTAATGATTGAAATTGCCGCACAAAAATACCCCTCTTCTAAAGTGCTCATCTCATTTGTTATAACACGAAGTGATGATTAAGACTCTCTTTGCTTGCAACTCAACAGGAAACTTGGCGCTCTTGCATCTTTCCCAAATGTTCATGTGGTGAATAACAGCAATATCACCAAACAGGATCTCTTTGATAACAAGGACATTAAACGCATAAAGATTGGTCTATTAGTGTCTAATCTTAAAGATGTGATTTTTAACAGGCTTAACAAATCGTGCTCTTAGGTTGCATCTCGTGCTTCCTGGGGAAACACCAGGAACAACCACTTGAGCCTGAATTACAAGGGGCGGGTGAATGCAGATAGCTCTGACCCACCGAGAACATACACAAGTGTCCTCAAAAGTCCTACAGGGCCTGTCAATCTCCCCACAGCAATAAATAAGTTCGTCCTCTGCAACTGTTACAGCTGCATTCCGAACTGCATAGGCTATGTTTCTTATCTTATTTTATCATCTTTTAACGTAATAGTCTTGTTAGTGATTGTCACTAGCATTGTTAATTATCATCACGATTTTTGTTATCTTTCTTCTTTTTAAAATCTTGTCACTCATACCTTACGTTGTCCCCCCCCGAAAAGTGAGAGTCCTCAAGTTCACCGAGCTCAATGCTCAGCAAGCTCGCGAGCTAGTTATCAACATATCGAGTGCGGTTTCCCGAGGTCAATTGTTGATCGAGGCTGGTTGACATATCGAGTTCGATGAAACCATATTGAGCTTTGTTGCCCACATAACTTATATGATCCCAGTGAGGCAACTGACCGAGAGAACTTATCTTGATAGTCCATTCCGCCTCAGAAAGGTCAATGAAGTGCTGGCATTCTGTGATGACAGCCTCGTCTGTTTTTCTCAAAGCTGGCGTTTTTGAGCGCTTGGCACACTGCTTTACTAATAATAATAATAATAAATGTCTCGTTAAAATACATAACAAACGTTACAGAGAGTAAAGGTATACATGAAAATCGCACTGATCATTTACAATTATTACATAAAACCTAATAAAACATTGGATATCTATATTGTTAAATTGCCAAGTTGTATTGAAGCCTTATTCTGTTAAAATAGCAATTCTTAAAGCGTTCTGTATTAATCCGTGGTAATTGACTTGTTTGTGATCTTAACTTCTTGGATGACTCTCTGACTTTCGGCAAAAGGGCATATAATGGATGGTTAAAATTGTTCTTAATTTTGGTGAACAACCTGCGGTCCCACTTCTCTAAAAGATCAAAGATATTAATAAACTCAGAAGTGCTACGTCGCTTATTGCACCTTTTTAAAAAGCATTGTATGGTGTTTAAATCTACCTGGCTGGCTCCATATATCGGAATTGCCTATGTGATCTTTGGCAGAAAAATAGCCTTAAAGAGATGATCTATCTCTACCTGTGTGTATCCATATTTTCTTAGTGATTGTAAAATGTACAAACACTTGTTTGCTTCCCGAAGCTTTCCCTTAACATGAGATGAAAACTTGAAGTCGTTTTGTAATGTGACACCTGATAGAGTGAAACTGTCACTGCTCTATGCCACATAGAGGGGGAAAGTTAAGTGTGACACCTTTTTTAGTCATACAGAGTTCTTTGCATTTGCTTGTGTTACAGCTCATACCATTAACCTCTGTCCACTCCAAAAATGCATTCAGTGTCTTTTGTGATTCATCCACACTATTCTTACGCACAGTCACAAGAATAGAAGTGTCCTCTGCATACTTAGTAAGATTGCTATCCTTGCAGTACTGAGTGACGTCAAGATCGTGTAAAAACAGGTTAAACAAATACAGGCCGCTGACCCTTCCCTGAGTAGTACTGCGGTTGACATCCTTCCAATCACAAACAGTATTATGACAGACCACTCTTTGTTTTCTGTCAGACAAGAAGCTGACGTACCAGTTGACAATGTAGGGTTTAAAGGGCTCTGTGTTAATTTCTCTATTAATAAGTTGTGCTTGACTCTGTCAAAGGCTTTTGAAAAATCCGTCGCTGGCACTGCAGGTGCCAATATGGCAGCATTCTCCTTCCAGACCCAGAATGGTATATTATCTGGGCCGGTAGATGTTTGCTTTGTTTTGAGTAGAGCGTAGGAAACCTGGCTCAGTGTAAGCTGTGGTGCAGGAATGTTTTCCGTGATGTCCATGGGTACGGTCTGATATAATCTTCATCGTGACATAAATTTGCAAAATAATGATTGAGTTCTCTCACAGAGTCCTCGTCAAAGCTTGGGTTGGATCTTTCTTTTCTCTTTGACAGCACATCGACCTTTTTCCACCAGGCCTTAGAGCCCATGTTTCCACACGCAAGCGATTTACGATTTTCTGTAACAATCGCGTTAATTCTGTCTTTAAGATTAATTGGGCATCCATCCGGGCTGCGGCATTTAGCCTTGGCTTTTTTCTTAAGCAGAGCTTTGGCCAGCGGAGTCATCCATGGTGGATCACGCGTGGACATAGGCACAGTTTTAGATGGGAAGTTTTCATTCATAAGGTCACGGAGCGTTGATTGCAAGAAACGAGAAGCAGATTCCACATCTTCGCTGTCAAAAATAACGTCCCAGCTTTGTTCTAGAAGTTTTGCATGAAACACAATTTTTCTATGCTCCCTGTTATCGTGCATTGTGCATTTGCATCGCATGGGCTTAAGTTTCGCGCCTGCAGGCACAATAACGCCTCCGTGATCAGTCGTTATTTGAGCGTCAAAGGGATAACATTTTGAGAATAAGCTGCAATTGTTTGTCAGGCAGTTGTTTAGAATAGAAGTGCCCCTCCTGGGGAAGTCAACCAATGCTGTGAGACCACTTAACGCTGAGAGTTTGTTGAGATTCATATTATTCAAATCGCCACCGATCATAACAGTGCCATCCGGAGAACCGTCCAAGAACAGATCAGATATGTCAGTTAGATAAGAGACCAAGTCATCTTCTATGTATCGCGTTTTCGTGGGATGATATAGGCCGCACATCATCATTTTATGATCTGAAGGCAGTTGCATTGTAATGTAAATGCACTCAAAAGTTTCGGAACGCTTGACATCCAGAATCTTGAGATTACCAGAATTTCTAATGTACACAGCAACTCCACCCTTTGCCCTGTTGTCATTTCCAAACCAACCCCGATCTCTTCTCTAAGTTGTGTAGTTCGTGATCGCGACGTTAGCATCGGGTACCACCTTTTTTAGGTGGGTTTCGGACATTATGCTGTGCCCAATCTTCAGGGCCAGTGAGAGGACATTTATGTCCAATCGAGATTCTTTATTAAATCCACATAGCCCTTTTACAGCAGCTACTAGCTCATCAAATTTGGCAATGTCTTTGTACTCTCTTAATTTTGCAACCTCGCTGTTTTTGGTAAGGGCTGGAGGAGCCTGGCTAACTGTCGCATTCTTTACGAAACGGTTAAAGTTTTTTCCCAACCTTTTTTAAGATAATGGCGCCTCAGATCACAATTACCGTGTCTTTTCAGGCAATGGCATATTCGTCGTTGATTTTCATGGACGCAAGAACGTTGTCGTAAAAACCCTTTGTCACATTGTTAAAATAGAATTAATCGCAGCAGGCAGTACAAGCTTAGCTTCCTGCTGTACCTTTGACTATTTTTGGGGGGACCTCTTGAAACCTATGGGACCGATGAGGCAATTCTGCTGGTGCCTCCAGAGCTCTGAAACCATGAAAAGTTTGGGGGTATTCTTCTGAAAAATGGATGTTATCAGACATGTCACTCGATGTGGTAAGATATTTGAAAATAAAAAAGACACGGCTAAGGTAATAGATAATCCCTTAAACATTACAATAGTTGCCCGTTGAGTTGTGTAGATGTTAAGGTGACCTCCCACTTAAAAAATTAATTTACTTGTTAAAAATTTAGCTTGTCGTAGCAGAGGGTCTGAATTGGGCTGTCCACATGTCGGTTGGGGGTAAAAATGCCATTACTTACTCAGTTGTTGATTATAATTTTTTTATTTTTGTTGGTTGTCAGTATATCTCGGTTAATCATTAAAAAAACAATTGATGTAGATGACCATGACTTCTCCAATGACGCGGTTCCTTTATGTTCCATGAGTCCAGAGATGGCTAAGGAGATCACTCCAAGCACGAAAGTGTCTCTACCACATTTGATGCACACGATGTTAGCAGAGGTCAGTAATGTGCTGCATGACTGAGTGGGATTTTTGCATTAGACATTTTTCCTTGACTCTTTATGCAGTGCAGAGCTTTTCCACTTTTGGAAATGTGCAAAACAACAAAATTAGGAGAAAGGAAATCCAATTTTTTAAGATATGTAAACAAGAAATTCGAACCAAACGGTTCTAGAGAAAACAGGAAACCAAACACTACAAGGTGGCAACCGCCAAAAAAAGTTACTTGTGCTATAGACGAACGGCTAAACCCAACTAACTTACCCAAGCCGAGGAAAAAGAACTTGTGAGAGGGACTGTGCTTCTTCGTCACCAACTTGTGCAAGAGAAAGGCGTTTCCACAGCCAGGTACAAAGTTCCTGTTTTCTTTCACTTTCACATCCTGAGAGAACAATCAACAGACCGTTTCCATCTCCACCTCTAAAATTAGGAATGGGATGAATATCAAGGATGAAGTAATCATCTCTCAAGCGACCTAGCAAGAGGGTGTACGGTTGGCACGTATAAATCTGGAAATCATATTTTGAACAGTCCATTGCATCTAGGCCTTGCAGAAGATTTGCACGACCTTGAGGTGAGAATATAGCGTCCTTTGTATAATTTTCTCAGCAAGTTCAACAGAATCAGGAAGTAAGCCTTTCCTCTTAAGGACGGTGAGGCATTCCAGAGAATCACAACGCCGCTTTTCCCTGAAAGTGTTAAACTTTCTAGGTCGTGAAGAATTATTTCCTGAAATATTCCAGGTACCAGTTGTCATTCATCTCTTCTTCTTGCGTAGCATTTACGATTTTCTGTGCCGCTACCAGGCAAAGAAAAGTACAGGAATCCGTACCATCGTTAGCTGGCGCAATACCTGCTAAATCAGTAACAGCAGTGGACTTAGACCGCTCAATTGCTTCTGCTAATCGCTTATTGGCTTCTTCGATAGGTATGGATTGGCTGACTTTATGAGATGTATATTTGCCAGGATTTTCCTTGGCAGTATTGGCCTTTAGCTGCCAAAGAACTTCTTGGGCGCTCGGACGTAAGAACGCATCGTAGTTAGCGCACATCTCAAACATTTTCACAATATCAACCCACAATGATGCCTGAAGGCGATGATATTGTGTTGGGCTGCTAGGTTTCAGCTGACCTTTCATCTTCTCTTGCAGCTAAGAAAGATATGGGTTGGCTCTCATTCTTCATGTCCGCCATCAACTTCTTACATACGCATATCCTGTGATCTGCTAAAGATGTCAAATTTGTTTGGTCCACAGCTTGTTGATAACTAGAGTTTGGAAATATTATTCTTAAGGCTCTTCTTTGTAGAGATTCAATAGCATCAAAAAGGTATGCAGGAATATCTTGCCATAGTTGTGCAGCATACTCTAAGTCCAATCTGATATTATATGTGTATACCTTTAGCATGTCTTCTGGCATGAATCCTGCGCACTTCAATAACCTAAGAGTGTACAATCTCTTAGCCGCCTTAACAATTACGTATTCAACATGAGCGTTCCATTTTAAGGTTATCGCTAATTACAACTGCTAAAAGCTTATACGACCTTACTCGCTCTACTTCTTGATTTCTGACACTTATAGGTCGCATAGCAGTAATCAAATTCTTCATGAAATTCACGTACATTTCTTTACATTTTTTGGGATTTAGTTTCATCCTGTGTTCAATACAATGGTCATGGATTTCTCTGACAACTACATCCAGCCTACTAATAGAGTTTCTTGGGATAATCTCAAATGCAGTAGTGTCATCGACATACTTCGTACGTATATGCCAATTCATGTACAGCTTGTTTTCCATGACAGCAAAGAGCGTTAATCCGAGTTTTGTTCCCTGTGGGATGCCACCATCGACTTGTTTTCATGATGACTGAGAGGAGCCGTCGACGCATACTGCTTGTGTTCGGTTAGAAAGGAAGGAGCGTACCAATAAAAACAGAGTTTGATCAATGTTAAAAGATCTAAGTTCATCTAGTAATATTGAGTGGTCTAGGACATCAAAACCTTTAGTAGAATCTGCAAAAAATATCCGAACAGAACAGTTTCCTGAACAACAGCTTCGTGTATAGCTTGCATTAAATAAATCAATGCATGCACTGTAGAGTGCCCATGGCGTGCATATTGACGTGGGTCAATAGTATCAGACACCTGTCCTGAAAGTCTTTTGTTTGTAAGACAGATAGTAAGTACAATTGGTCTCAAGCCCGATTTAATGTTTTGAGGGGGGCAAACTTTAGGGACTGGTGAGATAATTGACCCTTTTAAAGTGTCAGGCACAAACCCCTCTCTCAACGATTCATTGTAAATATCTTGGATTAGTGGTGCTAATTCGGGTGCGAATTGCTTTAACAGTTTGTTCTATCTGGACCCACCACTTTATGTGTAGACAATTTATGCAAGAAGGATGAAACCTCTTCTAAGGAAACAAGCAAATCTGGTGGAACTACGTTGGGCGGAGTTTGGGCTGGCATTAAGGTTTCAAACTCCTGAGTTATAATAGTGAAAAAAAACATTAATTTGGGTAGCCAACTCTGCAGGACTAGTGATGACGTCACTTAGGAATTGATGGTACCATTCCCGCTTACCAAATGTGTCCTGTCCGGTCAGGTATTTGATGTCATGCCACCATTTCTTGGGGTTAGTTTCAGCCAGACCGTCCACTTTGTTGTTATAATGTGAGCGCTTCGCTGTGTTAATAGCGCCATGGACTCTATTCCACCAAGCCCTATAGACTGGTGAGTATTTCCTATATTTAATAAATGCTGCTTGTCGCTTCTCAATCACAGATTACAATTTCACAGTGATCTAAGGTTTATCATATACATGAGTTTTTACTGTTTTCCATGGAAAAAAGGTTTCAATAGCCAAGCTAAGTTCCTTCGAGAACAACTAAAACTTAGAGGCACGTGAGGCGGCATTGTAAACTTTAGTTGTAATCCAGGATCCAAACTCTCTCCAGTTGCTTGTGCAGTTCTGTCTTCTATGAACTTTTTGTATAGAATCATGTTGAGGTGGATGTTTTAAAGTTGAGCGCACTAGGACGGTAAAGTGGTCCCAAGCTTGGGTAGCCTCTAAAGATCGAAGGTGTGGGGTCTATGAGCAAAAAAACCAGTCAAGTATCCCAGAGACTCTTGTGATGAATTGAACTAGCTGTTTCAAGTGGTTAGTTCTAGAAATAGAGTCTGAGTGCAGGCCATCTGAAGTCGGATTAAAATCGCCGGTTAAAATAGCTGTTACGTTTGGATGTTTCAAAAGATACATATCCATATTCCTCTGAATATGGTCACGAAGAGTCGCATTTTCCACTTCTCCGTTAGCAGTTGAATGCTAAACAACACCTAGAAAAATTTATGGAAATATTTTGTGGGGGTGAATGTGGTCTTAATTGAACCCAGATAGATTCCACTTCCTCGTGTTCCATTTCTAGTAATTGTGAAAAGTCCGAACCCAGCTGAAGGGGACTAGCTCCGGGTCGGCTTCACAGAAAAGAGACACGTACTTTGTTGGTTCAGCAAACTTTGTATTTCTTCTAAAGCTTCAGTGTTGTTACAAGTCAACTTAATCTCACACTAGCTTGTACTATCTCTCTCTGACAAAAGCCTGTTGTAGCTCCTTTTATCCTGACTGGACATGACAGGTGCCAATCCTAATCATTTGAAATTTAGTCCGATTGGCTGTAAGGAATATTACCATATTTTCCTTCGAGGTTATGACGCAGTCCGAAAATCAGCTTTAACTATAAAATTCACTTAAGTCCAGCTAATGTCCAGTCAAAACAAAATAGTCAGAGATACATAAGGATCACCAAGAATGTATTTGTATATATAAATCGCTGGTTCACACTATCGTTACCTCAAAAAGTACAACTGATCAACTTTTGTACATTACACAAGTTGTCGTTTAAAGTCTTCTTGTAGGAATAATTAACAATACTAATTTGTCCCGCCTTTTCAATATATTAACTCAAAGTTGTTTACGAGTTTTGCAATAAAACTAATTAGCGTACAAATATAATTACACGGATTATCCAACAAAAGAGTTCACTTGACAACCAGTCTCAAACAATTGTTAAGCAACTACACTTAATGAAGTATAACTAAATGATTTGATCAGGAGATCTCGATGGACGAGGTTTCTGTCACTAAAACGCAAGCCAACTCAAATACTAAGATCTTGAAAACTTAGGAGAGTAATAAAAACAGTATGTTCCAGGTGAGACTTTGTTTTTCTGGAAAGGTTTTGTTTGGTCAAGGAAAAGTCAATTAAGGCCAACGGAGCGTATCCTTTGTTTTACCAGCGCGTCCAATTAGTATGAACAAAAGAGAGATTTTAACAAAAGATAAATCTTACTATTTAAGTCACTTTAAGGCCGGCACGTGCGTTTTCGAAATCTCTCAACCAAAACAAACAGATATAATAAACCTTGCACACTTTTGCGTAAGTAAAATAACACTCAAAATAATTCAAAATAGTGGCTGTTTTTGAGTACTTTAACATAATCGCTTACACGGAATATTCTCTTTGATGTATACGCAAACGCCACCACCGGGCTGGTTTTTCTTGTCATTTCTCATCTCAATAACAAGAATCCAGGTAGTGAGACAGCCGAATCTGGTACCAGTTGCAAAAGCCACGTCTCTGTTATGCAAATCACATCAGTTTTATTGTAAATGGCGACTACCTTGTTAGATAACTTGCGAGAGTTTGTAGCTAAAATAGAAGGGACCTCGTAAGACTTTGCCTACGGGACTCCCCTGATTTCTGCCATGATACTGTGAGACTGTCACAGAAAGGACTCGTGTGGTGATTCGCACTCTAATCTGTTCCTTCGAAGAGATGGTAGCATCCTGATGGACCTGTCTCTTTCGGTTTGGAGATTGTTTGCCAGCTGGAACTCCCCTAAACTGGAGAATATCAAGATCTTTGAGATAGATAGATAGATAGATTCGATTCGATTCGATTCACTTTTATTTGAATACGGTAATTTCATAAGTTACATAACTTCTTTACATGAAAGCCGTATAGAAACAGAAGTAAATACTGTACAACTACACTAAAATTATGTACAAATAATAAAATATAGTAAAATGTAGTCAACAGTTTGCCTGCCTACTAGCCAGTTTTCTTTTAAAGATAGCTTTAGATTCGGACGCTTTTATGTCATTTGGTAATGAATTCCACAGCATTCCTCCTCTGTATGAGAAAGACCCCTTATAATATTCTGTTTTTGGAACGTGGTCCAGTACAACATTATATTCCACATTTCTTAGCATAGACTTATAAGGGTTGTTCTCACAGACATTCGAGAAAAGATCGCTTAAGTAACTAGGTACATTTCCATTCATTCATTCATTCGCTTAAGTAACTAGGTACATTTCCATTCATTCATTTCCATAGATAGATAGATAGATAGATAGCTTTATTAAAAATCCATTGCAGCCCAAGGGCTGGATTACCGACTGTACAATACGTTGAATACTAAGACTAACTATTATAAATAAATAACAGTAAATAAATAAAACAAAGGAACAAAATACTGAAGTCATGAAATTTAAGAAAATAGCCGCGAATTTACAATAAAACCATTAGAAAATAGCCGCATTATGCATGATAAAACTATTCATTAGTCTATTTGTTCTACAAAGAGGTACGTTAAAAGCGCGCTTTCTCCTTAAGGCTACAGTACTAAGATTACGTGGCGGCAAAAGGCCATGTAATTTGTGAAGGCTGTTGTCCTTAATCTCATTGAATAGGCGCTCTGTCAGCCATTGGCGCCGTTGGTGGAGGGTGGCAATATTGCACTCTTTTAGAGCCTCTTGATAGCCTAAATCTAGGAAAATAATTCTAAGTGCACGGCGCTGAATTTTCTCTAGCTCTTCAGAGAGATACTCAGGCAGACCATTGTGGAAAACTTGGCAGGCATATTCAGACATGGGCCGGATACACGTAGTATAGAAACAAAGTAGCTGCGCAGGATCTCCTTTTGCACGCTTAAGCTGCCTTAAAAGATATAGCCTAGAGGCTCCTTTTTTGATAACATTCTCTATGTGAGCGTTCCACTTTAGATTGTTTGAAATTGTGAGACCAAGAAGTTTTGCGCTAGTTACAACCTCAATTGGTTTGTTGTTAATAGTAACTGCTT